AGAGAGAGAGAGAGAGGAATAGTATACTGTTGGACTATGAGAGTTCGAAAAAACTTACTATTTCCGCTTATTATCTCTATACTCCTATATATATGTTTTTAATTGTACATATAATATAAACTTTATTTCATAAACCTCTTACGAAATATCCCATACAGCATCGAAAAATTGCAGAAACATTGCATAAACTTTACATTGAAACATTATAATATTGCATGGAAGTTGCGAAATGTTTCTGCAATGTAACTGCAAGCTTGCGACGACGTTAAAATGTCCGCTCTTGGAAATATTACAATGTAAGACTACAGTAATGTTACAGTGCAATCTATTTATAATATTGAAACGCCTTACTACAAATATGCAGAATGCTTCAGATTTTAATATAGATAAACTTTAAAAATATATAAAGACATTCAAAAGAGATAAGAAAAACTCGTTGCAATTGTGTAAGTTCACAATTTTTTTGCATCCAAAATTTGGATATGAGCGTCACCGGTATATATATGTATGTATGTATATATGTATAGCAAAAACACTTAGTCTAATATAATTAAATAATAAAAATTAAATAATCAGATAATTAAATTTAAATAATTTATATTATAAAATTTTATTTATATGGAAATTCGACTCTACATCCTAATTAATACAATAAAAGGATAATTTTTATTCATTCAGACATTTATCTGTCCGATTTCTAAACAATCAGTTTAATATCTGAATTCCCTGTGTTGAGGTCGTATCAGAAAAATTAAGCTGATAAAAATAATTACTATGTCTTTAATCTTACTAGCCACTCTTTGCAAGTTTTATATAATCATCATGACTAAAACTTAAATGCGAGATAGATTGCGCAACGCGCGTCGCATAGCGGTAAACGGACAAACTAGCAATTACAGAATATTGTTTTTGTAATGTTTTGAAATGTTGCTGTCACATTCTCATGAAATATTACAATTACATGTTCCAATAATGTCTCAACAATATTACATTGCAACTTGCAAGATTGTAACATTGCTGCAATGTAATTGCAATGTTCTGTGCTGTATGGGATAAAAGCATTAAATAAAACTAATAAAACAAATAACTTATACATAAATTACATTTTTTATTTTTAATAAACGGTGACTGACGGCTAAAACCTTTTCTTTTTTTTACTTAGGACTATGACTTTGGTAACATATGTCAAGATCGAAGTCATTGGCAGGTGATCCTCTATTCGGCAGTTTTATTGTATTCTTATTGTAAAATTCAGATTCAGTAATCTTTAAATTCATTTTTAATCAAAAATTGTTAAATGCTTATTTATTATTTCGTAATAATTTATACAGCATAAAATATTTCAAATACATTGCAGCATTATTGCAGATTATAATGTAATATAACAGAGACATGCAAAAATATAAAACTGCATCATAATATCTTCTGATATTCCTGCAATATCTGGAAACATTAAAAAAATATAATGTTATAATTATATCTAGCAATAACATTACAACAATATTTTGTAATTTCTGTGCTGTTACAATACTTATTGCAATGAAATCTTTCTGCGAGAACTTGTGCTCTAACTACGATATACAGACTTAAATTTCATAATTATAGTAAAAATTTTGAATGTAACTTTAATAATTAAAAATCAATAGGAGCGTAAAGAGCCACAATGCTAGTTCTTCGTGCGAAGGTTAAGATATATTCGTTAAAATTGTTTACATCAAATCAAATCAAACCATTAATCTTGACCATTAAGATCTTGACTTGTAAGATGTAAAGACTATCTATTCTCTGTTTTTCTACCTCGTTCTCTCTACGTGGACTAGCGTTTTGACATGAATTTAATTCAATACTAACTTATTTTCTACCGAACTACAATCGCATGGAAAGGATGATTTTAATGTCTTCCACATCTTTTACGTTATGTTAAATTTTGCGAGCAAATTTTTCTTTTTATTTGTATTATTATTAATGTACACTGAAGAAGGCCTGATGGCAGGTTGAAACGTTTGATTTGATTTGATGTAAACAATTTTAACGAATATATCTTAACCTTCGCACGAAGAACTAGCATTGTGGCTCTTTACGCTCCTATTGATTTTAATTGATTTTAGTAATCAGTAGAGCCTTATATATCATTAATTGTAACTTTATTACATGAAAACAATTTTCAGAGAAGAAGATATTATATATAATGAAATATTAAATCCCGTTGTGCGCCAACTGGAAGTAGCAAACTTTATGTCACGTAAAGTGATACAGTTTTGGTACAATGACGTATTTCTGTGGTTAAAAGAAGGTTTTGTAACATTCATTGGAACGTATATCTTACATAAGGTTGTTTGATATCTTTATTATATTTTTAGACTTTACGATAAAAACAATCAAAAGTTTAATAGCTGCAATCAGCAGCGCTAAATGCATATTGCTAATGCAAATATATTTTTGAATTAAATATTTATTCGCTTATATCAAATTTTCCAGATTCCATTATACCTGCCTAACATAATGGAGTTATTTGTTGTCCAACAACAACAGGAGTCTTTACGTTTCGATACTCCTTCTGTTATAGATCCTCTTACATTAACGTGTGACAGAAATATCTCTACAGATCATTTAATAAGATCACCTCCATATTATCTCAAATGTAAGTTTAAGTAAATAATACTAAAAAAAACTGCATATGATTTAAGAATGTATAATTTTAAAATATTGATAATTATACATAGATTTGAAAAATTTATAAGAAAATGTATGAAAACTTACAAATTAATTAAAATATAATTTATTTACATACAGAGTGAACCATTTAACTTGGCACAATGGAATATCGTGAAAACTATGCATTTAAAAAAAAAATGTTTTAAACAAAACTTGCTTGGTTTCGAGGAGGAAACAAAATAGCGTTATTAATTTTTGAGTTGGTGGACATTTTCAAGGTCAATCCAAGATCAACTTCTTTTTTTTAATGGAAACCTATATTTTTCTTTACGACATATTATTCTATGTAAAAAAACAAACAACTTTTGTCTGAACCATGTTTCCATCCGACCTCCATATTTCAAAACATAAAAAGATTTAATTGTTTTTCAAAATGTTTTATTATAACATTTTTGTTACATTTGCAACTGTGACCCTCACTTCAATAAATGCTCAAAGTAGTGACCTTGCACTTCCAAGCACTTATTGACACGTTTTATAAACGATTGATGCACAGATAGTAGAGTTTCTTTCTTGATACTTCTGCAAGCATTTATGATTCGCTTTTTTATACTTTCTGGAGTTGTTGGTGGGTCGTGGGATGTACCTTTTCTTTAAGATAGCCCCATAAAAAAAATCCACTGGTGTGAGATCAGGTGACCTAGCCGGCCAACGGACTGGACCACCCCGACCTAGAAAGACGGAATATGTGGTTCCAGCATGATGGTTGCCCATCGCATTATTCACATACTGCACAACAAGTATTACATCGAAATTATAATAGGCGTTGGATAGGTCGAAGTAGTCCAGCTGGCCGGCTAGGTCATCTAATCTTACACCAGTGGATTTTTTTTATGGGGCTACCTTAAAGAAAAGGTATATCATGACTCACCAACAACTCCAGAAAATATGAAAGAGCGAATCATAAATGCTTGCAGAAGTATCAAGAAAAAAACTCTACTATCTGTGCATCAATCGTTCATAAAACGTGTAAATAAGTGCTTGGAAGTGCAAGATTATCACTTTGAGCATTTATTAAAGTGAGTTTCACAGTTGCAAATGTAACAAAAATGTTATAATAAAATATTTTGAAAAACAATTGAATTTTTTTATATTTTCGAATATGGAAGTCGGATGGAAAAATGATTCAGACAAAAGTTGTTTGTTTTTTTACATAGAATAATATGTCGTAAAGAAAAATATAAGTTTCCATTTTAAAAAAAAGTTGACCTTGGATTGACCTTGAAAACGTCCACCAACTTAAAAATCAATGACGCTATTATGTTTCTCCCTCGAAACCAAGCAAGTTTTGTCTAAAACATTTTTTTTCAAAATGCATAGTTCTTACGATATTCCGTTGTGCCAAGTTAAATGGTTCACCCTGTATATGTATAAAAACAATTTTATAAAAATAAAACAAAAATATACTGTAAATTACTTAATAAGTATTTTGTAATTTTAATTGTTACAGCACCTGTTATATGGTACATGTTATTGTATCTATTACCTCAGAATGTGTTTTGGACGAGTATCCAAAAATATGTAGACATGCAGTAAGTATTACTTTTGGACATAATTATTATATAGAAAAATTGAACATTGAGAAAGAATGACGTTCTTTAAATTCTACTATCAAAAAACATAGGTACAAACTTCTTCAACCTATCAAATTATCTTGTCTACAATACAAAACAGCGTATTGTTGATTTTAAAAATTAAAATATTATTTTTACTAAGATGCTGGAGTGCTAGCTGAACTAAAATGCGAAAGCGCCATCATTTCGATGGAACTAAAAATAAGATTGACGTTATCGGCGTAATGTCCATGTATACGTATTTGTTTGTCAGATAACTCACTACACTGACATGTGGTCAAATGCAGTGATGCGATATCTCCTACCGGGCTCCCGGCTCTCGAGTCCCAATTAACTAAGAAATGTTTACGTCACGCGTCCGTGTGCACTCGGCCGTTCGGTTATATATATATATATATATATATATATATAGAGAGAGAGAGAGAGAGAGAGAGAGAGAGAGAGAGAGAGAGAGAGAGAGAGAGAGAGAGAGAGAGAGAGAGAGAGAGAGAGAGAGAGAGAGAGAGAGAGAGAGAGAGAGAGAGAGAGAGAGAGAGAGA